AGAAGAAGAAGAAGAAGAATTCAGGGTAATACAGAACAGCAAACACACTGCTCACACGGAGGACAAAAGCAAGTACAATACTTAACCCTCGTCATACACCGCAATTTGTACGAAATCCCTCGACGCGTTTCGACCTGTACGTACCCAGGTCTCATCAGGAGGACCAAAAAACAGAGGGAGCAATCCCTCCATGCGTTATAGCCCAAGATTGCCATGATACCTTGCCTTCCCACGCTTCCCACTCTCCGTCCCACCTTCCCCACATCCCTCCCCGCCCGATCCATCATGTCCACAGCAAACATCGCCGATCGTATCTCTCACAACATATTGTTCCCTAACTGCCATCGTCAGGAGAACAGGGGAGCGCGCCTCAAATCAGCGCTGCGCTCGTGGAACACCACGACTGAAAGGACTTAACACAGATGGTAGATCGATATATGTACGAATACGAACTGGCAGCGTTCGGAGATTCATGGTGCCTAAACCGAACTTCCCGCCTATCAAGCCCACTGAACCAGTACAGAGGGCCCAAAAAAAGGGGGTCGTACATAAGTACATGCATCTGGTTCAGTACTATGTTTTTGTTCATCGGTGTCCCAGTCCCGGAGTCGTGCCCAAAAAGACCTGTTATTTTTTTATCACGCAGGCGGCAGAATGCCGAGGGCCGCCCTGCAAATCCAGTGACTCGATTGATAGCTAAGAAACTGCAACTCCTACCCATCAAAGGGGGTCTATACTGTGTATCAAATACAGGTCCAGAAAAAAGGGCCAAAAATGAAGGGCCAAAAGAGTTTCCATACCGAAAAAGAAGGGTCGGGAAAAACTCCGAAAAAAATAGGACAAACACCCAGTCAAGAACCAGGGGGTCAAGGAGGATGGCCGAGATCATAAGGTTGAGAATTTCATTTTTCCATATAGGTGGGGGTACATTTCAGGGATCAAAGACCCCCAACGACCACCCACCACCCTGGCAAACCTAGCTAGGGATCCGAAGAAGAAGAAGAAGAAGAAGAAGAAGAAGAAGAAGAAGAAGGTCATCAGTGACTAGTCCTGCGGATTCTCTTACCAGAGGGTGAAACAGAACTTTATCATACAGCGTCAGAAAACCATCCCTTTCACCAGACATTGTCAGGCAATGCAATTCCTTGATGCATTTCGAATTTTCGATTTTTGTGTGCCCCAAGTCTCTTCAGGAGGACCCACCGCCGCACAAATTCTGAGAGAACACAAGTTCCCTCATCATCTTTATAGCTCTCATGCATGCAACTACTACTCTCGTAAACCTTCCCTCTCTTCCCACCTTCCCTCTCTTCCCACCTTCCCTCTCTCTCTTCATCCCGAACCCAATGCCAACCACTTCGTCATACACCTGATACATCTCATCTTTAGTTGCTCTGGACGCCTTCCCTCTCCCATCTTCCGTGGTCCGATGCAGAGGAGACAAATTCCCTTGTGGGCAACTGAGTTATCGACTGCCACCCCACATCGTGCGAAGAAGACAACAACGACCACGACGGCGACGACGACGACGACGATGACGACGACGACGACGACGACGACGACGAAGAAGAAGAAGAAGAAGAAGAAGAAGAAAGAAGAAGAAGAAGAAGAAGAAGAAGAAGAAGAAGAAGAAGAAGAAGATGAACAAGAACAAGAACAAGAAAACCAGAATGTCCCCTGGTTGAGGTCTCGTGATTGTTTATGTTAGCAGTTCATTGATAATTCAGTCTGATAGATTTGCCGTCAACAATGGTTGGGATTAAAAATTCAATCCAAGAACTTGAGTCTCAAAAGCTAGAAGTGTGAGCTGCAAAATGAATGTTGCCTGGATTGAAGTGCATTCCAATACCTGGCTTTCAACAATGGTCAGGATTCTTTTTTATTTTGTTTTGGGGGGGTGCTGGGACTGCCTGGAACCGTGCCCGGGGTTCACGCCCGGCCGCTCACCAGGGCGTGCATCTGGGCACAAGCTGGGTGCACGGGCACCCGGACAAACAGCCTAGATATAAACGGTATGAAAACCTCAAGAAAAAGAAAAGGGTTTAGTAGAAGGGATCAAATGTGTGTTGACTATCATCGCTATGGATAGCATGGTATGTGTGTTGGTTGTTGTGGAATTGTTTTCACATGGCTTCTATATATAGCACAGATGGACCGATAAGATGCATGCATGACACTGATGGCAGGGTGCACAGGGAAAGCAGGGGAAGGGAAATTTGATCGCTATCTAATTTGGGTATATGTTTTAACACAGAGCAACTAATGACTGTTAGGATAAGCCCATGGATCAATTTTTGGAGCTACGTCTATGACTTCACTCCTGGACCACTGACAGGCCCAAAACAGAATTGGAATTACTTGCCTGAGGTACTCTCTCTCTCTCTCTCTCTCTCTCTCTCTCTCTCTCTCTCTCTCTCTCTCTCTCTCTCTCTCTCTCTCTCTCTCTGTGTGTGTGTGTGTGTGTGTCTCTGCCGTTTTACCTCTTTCTTCTCGCTGTTACTTCCCTTGCCTTCCCCTCAATTCTCTCTCTCTCTCTCTCTCTCTCTCTCTCTCTCTCTCTCTCT